ATTCACATCACTGATATGTATTTTTTACACTTGTATGTTTTCTGATTATTCAAATATTTTCTATGCATTACACCTCACAAAAAAAAATATTTTCTATGCATTACATCTCACAAAATTATAAATAGAATTCTATCTCGAATACTACTGCAAATATAAAGACACAAATTCACACCTAAACTAAAAAAATCTAGACTCCGTGAAAATGTAGATAAAACATAAAAAATAACAGAAGATAAAATTGAAATAGAAAAACATATTTATGAGACATAAAATTTGTTCTATTTTACCGATTTAAGCGATTCTTCCCGTTGTTCTTTATTTCTTCCAGGTTATAAAATTTTCATAAATAAGTAATACTATTCCATTCTTATTCTAATCTATTCTCCAAACTGCATTTTATGTTATTGTCCGTTGCGTATAAACACAATCAGCTTTTACCATAATTAATTAATGCATATAATTAATATTTATTAATATATTAATATATGTATCATATTTTAATTAATCAAATATAATTATAATATAGCACAATTTGACTTTGTGATTTTATCATTATGCAGAGCAAACAACTCTAATTCATGCAGCGCAATACGATAAACAGTGGGACACGATAAGATTTAAGGCTCTCAACTTTTACTAAGTGCAACACAAACAGCCAATTTATTTAATCTCTGAACTTTGTGCTGTGTTAAATAACTCGAAGCGAGAAATTTACATCAATAGATGAAAAAATTATCGACCGGAAATCTGCCTCGCGATCTAACTAACGCTTTCGAGGCAAAAGTTTCGGCCGACATTCGCCCATCAACAACACCTTACCTCAAGTTCTCATCAAAATTTCAGTACGATACTCACGCAGCCACAACCATTTCATGCGCATACCTCTCGCACGCGCGCAAACTTTTCCAAATAAAGTTCGGAACTTCTCTTAACGAAACATGAGCGTATACAAACTTTTACGAAGTACGCAAATCAGAGAAAGTTAGTAAGCTTGCTGGTATCGGCTTTTTCTTACGAAGCCGTCGCTTGCAGACGTAACAATATATATAATGAATGAAAAAACTGAAAAAATTATACTACTTTCAATCTCCGCATCGATTTCTGTAGCCTCATACGTGAACTTATAAACTTATAAACTTATAAACTTTTGAATCTTGAACAGATTACATAGATAAGTTAATAATTCACTCTATTGTATGTATCAAATAATAATAATAATATTTTGCATCTTTCACATATATCTGATGTATAATTTTTTATTTTTAATCATAAAATCTGTTCCATAAACTTGAAATTTTATTTCTTAAGACGCCTTACATGAAAAATTCATGGAGCTATGTGAAATAATATAACTTGGTCATTATTTTTTCGTCGCTATTTCATCTCTATCCAACCAATCTCAGAAGTAATAATTCAAGACGTCTATAGATAAGTTGCAACTGGGAATATAATCTTTGAATATTTATTTCGGTTTTTGCATTTGGCACACGCAGAACCGATAGTCTTTAATAAAGAGAGAACGAGTGAGTTCCTCGTTAGCAATGAAATTATAGCCATTGTCATTGGCTGGCTTTAATATTTCATGAATATCGATGCTTTTTCATTGTCGCCGTCGACAAAAGGGTGCAAGCAGGTCACATCGGTCATGCAGATTCAATCAGAGGATATCGTATTCATAACAATATTATACAATTGTAAGGACGGCGTTAAATATTCCCACGCCATATACGATTTGCATATTTAATCGTGGTATAACCCTGATAGAAAAATCACCATGGTGCTAGGCTGGCGCTAACTTACTTGCCCCACTGCCTGATAAGGAGCTAGTATGACATGCAGATTAGCGCCAGACACAAAATCATCACATTCTTCCAGTCTAATACCCGACTTAATCGACTAGTCAGGCGTTATCTAGCTCTAGTGTAGTGCTATCTAGCCGTGGCACGCTAGTTCTGATGTACTATCTAGCCATGATGTGGCGATAGCTAGTTCTCACGCAGTTCTTATTTTACTATATTAGAAGTAGTCTGGAGTAAACTAGCGCCAGGCTACTTCTAGTCAAACTATTATTAACATAATATATTTCTAGCGCCTCGCTAGAAATAGCTTGACGCTGATTCGCGCCACGTCAAAACAAAATTTATTATATTAAATGGGGATACAACATGACAGTCAAGATGGGAGCTAGCTAGACATCAGGATCTAGCATGGCACTTTCTACCAGGGTAAGATTTAAATATATTATTAAAAAAGACGCTTGACGTGCATTTGTCAGAGCGCTGAAGAACATGAGATCGATACGATGTGCGGAGAACCGTATTTATGAAACAAAAAAAAGTGGACTATAATCAACAAAGACAGTCGTGATGTTTCCTTCATCGCGAAGAAAAAGGCGAGGGAAGCGCTTAAGACGTATTCCTCGCGCGCAAGATGTTCGCCGTGCGGTGAGTTTTATTCGCGCTCGGACGAGCGTTTGATGAACATGACAACGTTCCTGCAAGCGCGTGATAATAATTCTGCCGCGTCGATACCGAACTCATTCACCCCTATCAACATACGCGTTTAGATCACTTTATACCGAGAGAAAGAGTCTCTATTCGCGCGCCCGACATAAAGTTCGAAGTTCTGGAGCGCCTTCGATCGGGAATTCATATTTCATGCCGGCCGCCGTACCCGTTCCAGAGAGGGTCACGAGACGAGCATCTACGGCGCCTCTGAAACTCGACTATCTATATTTCAAATTATGGCTCGAGCGAGCGCGGATAGATTATTGTTGTTGAACATCGCGCGCGAAGAGAACGCGTCTATCACCAACGTATCTCTCTCGCTCGTTACTCAAGAAGTCGCCCACTGACTGCGAATCAGAAAAAAAAAGTTTCGTTCGCTTGAAAGAACGACTCGCGAACTACGTTTCCCCTCCGTTGCTTCGACCCGCCTTTCGTTTAAGCGTTTTAATTCACCAGGATTATGAACAACCGCGGTGACCGTTAATTAAGATAAGTCCGCAAATCCCGAGCGTTGTCCCTTCTTCCTCGCGGCGTGTATTCTTGGCGTAGACCCTAAATCCCGACGGAAAAATACGCAAAGATGAAGAGGAAGAACTACCACGAGCAGGTTGCCGACGAGACGTGATATTACGTTCAACGGTACTCCCGAAATGACAAGGTAGACTATCATTTCAGGAATATTATGATTGCAGTGAAATCGTATATTTATTCCAGAACGAAGGCTATTATATCTCTTTGAATTATAATACAATCATCATCGTAATGCATAGACTTTAAATAAAATTCGAGATGTTACGGATGTTTATTCATTTATATTTTATAGAAATTAAATGTCATGGTTATTTCAATATAAGGACACACAGTACTGAGTAATTTGCACTAGAGAAATTTGTTTATAATTTTGGTAAATCTAAATTTAGATTTCTAACTGGTAAAGAGACTGCAATTATTTCTCGTTCACAAAAGGTTTACGGAAAGAAAGCGTTTTCCGATGGATATTAATATAATATTTTTTTCCTGTTAGTACAAACGTGAAGTCTTATTTCTGCTAGTCGCTCTTCTGTACACTTCTTTCATATATTTAATTCACGCCGTGAGAATACGCCATGTGACGGTGTACCGGGGTAACGTGGCTGGGCGCGACTTCCAGGGTTCGAGTGTCGCGTGCAAGTAATTGTCCCGATTACTTTTGCTTACCGTTGTATTATGATATAGGAAAAGTACTCTTAATTAAGCGGTGCGTTCTAATTGATCTCCTGACGCGCGTAGAATCGGTCGCGATGTAACGGTATGCCCGCTAACGCGGTGGAAGTTGTTCGCCGGTGAATTGACACGTTGCACTGCAACTGTTAAGATAGAAATTTAATGGATCCAACAACTGTCTACGGAGACGCGTGTCTTCCAGAAGAGTCTCTTAAACCGAGTGGAGTATTTAAAGGAATAGCGATAATTAACCGTACTTGCGAATGATAATAACGGGCAGAAGATTTCCATAGATATACACACTTTCAGCGATAAATTGCAAAGGCGCAAAAATAATTTTCCTCGAAGAATAAAATTGAATAAATCTATAAAATTATTCTCAACGTGAAAAATTATTTTTGTTTCTGAAATATTCCACGTCGGATTAACTGCTGTCGCCAGATTACAATATTATTTCTAACGAGTTATATTTATAGCCGTCGTTATCGGTGACGGTACTGATATATTCACATCGCTAATGAAAATATAGATCCGTCTCTAAACTATGCAGCCATATAATCTACCAGTCTGCCGGCGCAAATTTGCATTCCATTTTAATTACAATTGAATCCCTTGAATAATCTTGCTCACGTAAACATTGTGACGCGTGCTTGCATTAGACGACGATAATGTTTCGGAGACGTTATTTTCGTAGTGTGTGTGTCGATTTTATGACGAAAAGTTCATCGAGATATCGCAATGACGTACGGACAGATATTCTCCACAATTCTTTTTTTTGCTTCCAGAAAAAGTGCTCGCGTAATACATCCGTGTTATCCTCGCGAATATCGGACCTCGCGAAGGCATGCACATAATTCCGCGCACTCGTGGTCTCGTAACTGATTTCATCAAAATGTAATGTGCCAAACTTGCACACGTCCGAGAAAAAAAAACAAGAAGACAATCTGAATTGAATTATTTATCATACGCCAGATTATCATGTGCACTGCACAAACTAAGAGAGTTGTTTGCTTTGCGAAAAGCAAAAATATTATTTCGATATGTTGAAGAAAATCGTTCACGTTTATGCCTCCTAGATAAAATTTTCCTATTTTTTTATACTTTAATTTTATCTTTCATTACACTTTGACATTTCAATAATATATTGCAAAAAATATGTAAATGTTATTCTTCAATCCTTACAGTCTAAATAACAACAATATAACAAGAGATAAGATTTTCCCAAATGCAATATCGCGGGTGCCGACGAGAATAACAAGAATAAGATACAATCCTGTTTTTCGTTCACAGCCAGAAGAGGCAGCAGCAGCAGCAGCAACAGCAGCAACAGCCGCCGCCGCCGCCGCCGCCGCCGCAGCCGCAACAGCAGCACGCCTCCTGGCACAGGACCACTCTCGCCTCCTGATCATCGCGACCTTGACCCTGACCGCGAGTCCAACGATTCTGAAAGGCGCACGAAGAAAGGAACCGCGAGGAACGCCGCGACGCCACTTCTTACACGGTTTCGGCTGCTTGCCGAGGCGACGCGCAGAAATGCGGACGAAGAAACATTGGCAAAGGACCTTCACGGAACGACTGTCGCGAGATAAATCCGCGGGAGGAGCGTAACCTTTTTCTCTTCCTCTTTCCTCTTCGTGGTGTAGTCAAAACGACCGGCTCGATTCCGTTCGTACATTTCCTTTAACCGTCGTTAGTCACCCGTTGTTATATTCACGCTCGAAATTGTACGCATTAAATTATCGTCTCCAAAATGCAAAGTAATAATAAAAATATAAAAATTGTAATTTTTTTTCTTAATCAAAAACAATGTTAAATTATATATTTTATATGTGTAAATACGTATGTTTACGCAAATATAAATTTTTATGTTTAAAATTACGATAATTTTTTGTGTCATCAGCAAAATAACATATAACTATGAGGTTAAATATGAGTGGGACTAACGACATATTAAAGGATTCGTTATAATGTGCAATCTTAATGAACATTCGTAAGTTAAATATAAAAGCGTAAATCATGTGATAAAGTCATACGCGGATGTTGTAGGTGATAAGACTAGCGGGATAGATTAGAAATAATGTATTGACTGAAAAACTCAGACACTCAAACACGAACACCTTAAGCGAGTTCGAAGCGAAAATATATTTTTCTGTTGAACCTTTTGTATCTCGACGGGAAGTATATCCTCATATCTCGCAGAGACCAATGTCAAACTGTCATAAGAAATAAGATACAAGTCACCTTGTATCCATCTATTAAGAGAAACGCACAGATCAAACGAAGGATTTCGCAATCTTGCAATACGTAAGTTAGAACTTTGATTACGATTGCTACGAAAAAGGAAACACGTGTCTCGTGCGATTCATCGATGTGATGTTTCGTAAGACTACATCGCTGCTTCAGCAGCAATATGAAAATTGTGTAGGTTTTTTTTTCCCTCGTCATCACAACCCTGTAGAGACCCCTGACATAAGTGCGATGACACGCGAACGCCGTGATGAAGCCTCTCCGTTTCATGCACGTTATCTATTTTGAAAGTAACACGTAAAAAGAGTTTTTCAGTTTCGTCTGTTACTTAAATACGTGGATACAAATTATGGAACAGAAATATCTCTACAAAAAATAGATTGCATTGGTAATTTTATTCCTCACAAACTATATCGATGGATAAAATTAGACAAACTTTTATCAGCAAGTCTTTAAAAGAAAAAAAGAAATGTATCTAGATTCTTATCGCGAGTAGTATTTTGTATTTAAAACTATATTTAAGTCTGTAATTATAGTAGCTGTTTCTTTTGTTTCACAACGTTGATTATACTTGTGGCCTTGTTACTTTGTACAGTTTGTTATTGACTCAAACATATATTATATATCTACTCGCGTAATATTCTACATTTTTTCTCGTAGCGTCGTCACGGCGATCGTAAAATTAACTTCTCGATCCCGACAAAGTAGAAATTAGAGCATCAAAATTAAATATTTATAAATTCGCGACTTACAAGCTGAGTTTACACTTGTAGCATACCATCATCTACCCAATTAACAATTGCATTTAAGCTCACCACAGTCTGATATTTTACGATTAATTGCGTCACAATATCTCTCTGGATACCGATACGTTTAATTTTGCGAAACACAACAAAAATATATTTGCCTCGAAATTTAACGAATTTCAGAATTAAATTAGCATACTTATTTGTTTTAGTTGACGTAATCGGCATATCTTTTTTTGTTTATGCTGTCGACAATCTAACACATACACATATAAACAGTTCACAGTTTTAACTTTCATGATAACGCATTCGTAAAAAGAGTTTTAATCACGAAAAATATTTACTTGATAGAGTGTTACGCGCACTTTTACAACACTCGACGCAATAGCGATGAAATTTATGATTATACAAGCACAGGCATGACGTCTGCGTGACTAAACCGCAAAAAACTCGAGATAACTTTAAGGACTTTGCACGATCATATTTAATAATTTTTTTTTTTCAATTTTATATTACTTTCACGTCAGACAGTATAATTAGCAATATTGAGAATGATTATTTCTAATCCGGTTTCGCCCAGTTTGTTCCACAGGCGCAAATGTTACAGACAATTTAAGAGCATCAGAATAATTATGACTATTTGACTCGCTTATCGTTTGCATACACATGCAGCTATTTCTGTCGAGCACACCGGAAAACCTCAGAGACACAGTAACATATCAGAAATGCCATTTCAAAAATGACCACGCTTTAATATTCCCGACGGGAGGCCATCGTTTGTTGCGTAAACGTGCGGTCTTTATCTAATCCCATTGCTCGCATTATGAAATAAAATTGCACGCAAAACTTTTTATTGCGGTGTAAACTCGGTAATTATGTCGCCAGAATGCATGATCATGTTAAAATCATTTTTAATAAAAAATCGTAATAATTTTTATTCTGTAAGTAAAAAGTGCGATAAATGTATATATCTTTTTGCGTTGTGTCAAAATGTTTAGGCAAAGAGTTGAGGCGCACAAAAAAAAAAGAAGAAGAAAATAAAACGTCGAAGAAAAATGCGTGACGAGAATGGGTGCTATTCGATAGTTAAAATGCGAACCAGGGTCGAGGGAAGACCGCGACGAAAGCCATGTAGATAGTCTATTTAGGTAGAAAAAAGATATTTTATATGCGATATGCGCGCGTACCCGCCGGAGACAACGTGTCTCTGGCATACGTTGACACACAGGAATACATGAGAACGCCGCCGCGTGATACCGATTACCGTTTTATCGGAGACGAAATCCGATACTTAGCCGCGGCGAAAAGAATTCCTTCGCAGCATTCGCCGCTGTTTTCGCGCTGGATTTATGCGAGCCGCTCTAACATGGATTTAACGACAGCCAACTTAATTCTGTGGTCTCACGCACATGAACCGTGTATTTCAGTTATGAACATTGAGTAAATTTATTTATTACATGCTCTCGTTATTGTAACAAATGATATATAAAAGAGAAAAATAAAATGTAGCGTAAAAAGTAAAAAAGAAGTAGTGTTAGATTTTCATAATAATTTCTCAAAAAAACATGTTTTAATATAATAATGAATATATAATATAACGATTTTAATATAATAATAAATATATAATATAACGATGTTACGAATGTTGCTTATGATTTAATAATAAAATTATTGCTTTGGAGACCGAATCATCAATTTTCCGAAACAAAATACATCACTTTGTTTATCTGAAATCTAATACTGCATTGCGTACACGGTTTATGATTTCACGGAGCCACAGAATTCTACTTCTCCGCCTATATCGTAACTAGAACTAGAGATCAGCGAATTGTCAAAGCTTTTAATTAACCGGGACCGCCAATATTGGGCATCGGCGGTCGCATTGATGTCGCTTAACATTAATCGTGATTAATCAAACCTATTTCTCCATCTATCGTAGCTAGAATTACGATCTAGGGAGCAAATTGTTAACCGATCCATTAACCTGTCCAGACTGTCACAATAAGTGCGCATCGGCGTCGCTGAACGTCAAATCAAACAGTTTTTTGTTTGTACGATATAATTACAGCTACGATACAAAAAAATGATACGGATTAACCGGAACTGTCGGAATTAATCAGAATTAGCCGAGACGTGACCAATGCCAGTTACGCTATTTAATGCAGCGATGCGCGAGACAAATATGATGCGTTTGGCGTTTGATTATGCCCGTGCGTTTACGGTCGCAGATAACGCGGAGGCGATCGTCCGAACGGTGGCCACTGGCCGCCGTTCCAATTCCGACGGAAACATACGCGGTTATTAGCGTGTCCGCGCGGTGACCTCGTTAAAAGCACCGCGGCCGCAACGTATACACCTACAATAGTCACGAGACCGCTGCACTGCACGGCAAAAACAAAGACAACGATTGTTCTGTCCCCGTTTCGCCATCGGCAAGGCGATACGCGCTGTACATATTGTGCAGAAGATAATCTATCTGTGAGAATGTATTAGGAGTACCGGAAAGTAATGTCGTTTACTGCGAACGAAAAAAGGAAAGGAATATCGAATTCGTCGATTTTATCTCGAGATGACATTGAAATCTAACGCACAAGTGAACAAAGATCGCAGATGATGCTGGCGATTGTGTTCTTAATTAAATTAATAATTATAATTTCTAATTTTATTTATTTAATGATTAATTATATTTAAGAAATTTTTTCTTGACTGTTCGTATTATTTATTATGTACATAGTAAACAATATTACTTTACCGGTATTCCTAATACATAAAATACCGCCGCGTGATTACCGATTACTTTTTCATCGCAGCTGATTAATCGGAACCGTCGCAGATTAATCAGAATTAACCGACGATGCGTAACCAAACCCCGGGTGCGCTATTGATGCGGTAATATGCGAGATAAAGACACGCGGTGTATTTTGGTGTCCGATTATGCGTGCATTCACGGTCGCAGATAACGCGGAGACGATCGTCTCCGAGGCGGTGCGCTTTTAACCTCAGTTTTAACGTGCACAACTGCACGACGGTTATGACGATAAATCGCATGACACAACTGCGTCACACACGGCAAAAACAAAGACAACGACTGTTCTATCCCCGCCATGGGTAAGGTGATACACGTTACACTTTGCAGAAGACTATCAGTGAGACCGAAACCGGGCGCGGGCAAAAAATTGTTTCGAATACGCGCGCATATATAGTTGACTGTGCAGTTATTCTCTTATCTTCGTTCCAATTCGAAAGGAAATTTTAATTATGCAAGTCTTACGCTAGTCACAAGGCTGACCTATAAAATCAGATTATATTAAATCATTATTGACACGCAACATTCCGAGATATCGCTAAGATAAATATATGTACTTTCACCCGTTATACGCGGTACGCGTGATAATTCCAGATAAATTCCTTTTTCATTTTCAATAATGTTGAAATTTCTTCTCGTAATAATGAATTGATTTATATGACCAGAAAACTTAAAGAGATTTAAAAAATTGCGAGATATCAATCGTAGAAAAAAATAACAATGTATTTAATTGTTATTTTACAACTAATTTATGTTTCGTTATTTTTCACATTCGAGTAAATGGTGCTAATCAAAAATTATTCTGCGATTTACAATTAGTTCCTATCCAATTCACAGGACGTGAAAGGACTGTTGTAATTATAGATGTCTCGTTATCTGCGACCGTGGCATACGATATTAATTACTATTACTCAATCCGGCGCGATGACGCGCGCGGAATGTATAGACTTGTACTTGTTTGTTTATTTATTGTTAGAGTGAGAGAGAGTAAGAGTGAGAGAAAGGAGATGTGCGTGCGGAACGTGATGCACGATCCGTGACTAGGCAGGAGCCACCAATTTTTTAGATGATCGAGACCCTCTGACTGTTTAGCCTTTAGATTTTATTAGCAACATAAGAATGACTAAAATATTATTTTGTTGATATATACATATTATATATATGATTAATATTGACTATAAATTACGAATAATCTGTAAATATACAAGAACACCGCAGAGTCGTATCTCTCTTGTAGATTTTCTCGAGAACTGTCTCTTCATATCCCGAAATTTCTCGAAATCAATTTTTAGAAATTTTTACGACTATATCCTAGTCCAAGTTTAATGACAAACTCGGCGATCTGATGGCGAAATTGAACAATTATTGCCACTTACCTTGATCTGCCACTACTCCTTGATATTTTCGTCGGTCATCGCTGAGATGAGATGAATCCGAGCTCTCATTAGATATCCAAATTGAACGCAATCTTAACTTCGAAACTCGCTCCGTTGATGCTCGGTGAATGTTCGGCGACTGCTGCGATGTTCGTGATTCCTTCAAATCGAGCCATCCGTTCCGACAGAAATCCTCGGCTCCAGCATGGATCCGTTAACTTCGAGCGCCATATCATCTACAAACAAATTTACGATTGACGAAAAGTACGCATCGAAATGGCGACCGAAACGATATCACGTCGCGCGATCATATATCATCGGCGAATTGGCGGGCACAAGTGTATTCGTAAAAGCGAAAAGCCGAATACTTACGATATTTCGCGTAAACTCACGCGAATTCATGTTACGCGACGATTTCGTCGACGAACATCACGAATACGATGATGGAAAGCGCTACACGGCAACGATATCGATGTAAACTGCTGGCACAACTAGCGAAAGTGGCAAAAGTTCAAATACTCATTACGCGGCTATTTCGTTGACTACTTTATTCAAAAATGCAAATAAAATACCGAATTTGACCGGAAAAGAAGCAGGATAGCGCGCCAATGATACGACACAGTCGCCATCTGTTGATGAAGTAATCTCAAACGCGTTTGCGGGATCAAAGACTAAATATATACGATATTTCGCATGAACTTGCATGATTTCGTATTACCTGACGATTTCATCGATGAGCACCATAGGCACGATGACAGGAACCACAACACGGCGACGACATTTACGTAAATTCGCACAAACTCGCGAAATTCACGGAGCTACAAACTCTTCCTAAGCGGCTATTTCATCGACTACTCTAGTCAAAGTACAGTTGTCAAAGGAAACGAAGTCAGCTAGCGCCGCGTAGTGTGACACAGTGCATATCATCTACTGACAAACTAATAATCTCAAGTGCATCCGCGAAAGATGACGAAAGAGAAAAGTTGAACTCGAATGTGAGTTCACATAATAGTTCACATAAATAATCTTAAAGTTACACAACAATTTCGTCGACGAGCACAAAGAACATAGCAATGGACAGCGATACACGGTGACGACATTCGCGTAAAATCACGGAGTAACAACCATTTTCAATTACTTTACTCGAAGCATGATATCAAAATATGAATTTGACTGGAAAAAGCGGTTAAGAGAGTACTATCGCTGTTCACCTTTTTTGGTGAGTATTTTATTTATTTTAATTCCGGCTTTTATATTTTTTGCAATACGTAATTACAAATATAAAATAATATTATAATAATTAAATTAATTAGATTTTACGTACTTATCATTTGTTAATTTTTCAACTAAACATAAAGTAGTCTTGTAATGTGTGAAAAGTAAATTCGAAATATTTAGTTGCATCAAAGCATTTTCAGAATAATTAAAACGGAATTAATCTAAAATCTGTATTAAACTAATTGTAAGGTGACTGATTGAAATGACAAATTTGGCTATGTTCTAAAATGTACTGGCAGTGCTGAAACTTGTATGTAATATAAACTATAAATTATCAGCACTGACAGTGAATATTGAGAAATGCAGCTCTTGAATTCGACCAATAAAATAACCTCAATCTTAGTTTTATTCAACTTTGTCCAAATAAGCAAGAAACATGTGGATCGATTTGCAGACTGCAGTTGGTAGCACTAGAAAAATCACTAAATATATATTCATAAACCTCGCAGTTCCGGTTGTATTATACTTTTAATATAATTGGATATTTGTTAATTAATCAACAAATTATTTGAATAATCTAAATCTTTTTTGTCTAACAATCTCGAGTAACTATTTTTCGTAACATATTATGGTAACATCGCATTGCATCACGTGGAACAGTAATGCAATAGGCTCGCTAGGGAGCTTTGGAACCCCGTGAACAATATTGCATCACTGAGTGGAGTAGTATTTTGTCTATATCTTATATATGTATTTCGCAGGCGAATCGGCGAATTTTTTACAAGAAGATTGCATACGTTCGTCTCTCTTTTCGTTATTCGGCGCGATTGCTAAGTGCATGTTGTTGTGACTTTCGATACGAATTCGTATTTTCCTCATTACCGCGAGGAACGAGCGTTTTTTGGATTATCACACTCATCAATGTGGTAAAGAATCTCGAAATATATTACGTAGATTTCATCGCGATAAACCTTACTCAACAACGGATCCATCATTTTCGCCGTTTTCATACGTCACAGCCGGTATAATGCGGCATCTCGTTTCATCAACGCCGGCACGAGCGATAATGGTGTGATAAGTTATACGCGTTAGCCGCGTATCACAGTATGTCGATCGCGAAATATCCCCGCAGCAATCGTGCGGCATAAGCGTTCATGGCGCGTCACAGTCCGAGTTCGCTGCCGCAATAGTGCCATTAATGAAAATTATAAACTAAAAAAAGAATAGTTGACTGCTGATGCAATTAACTTTGTGCGAAATGGACATTTGCGCTGTGTAGGTTCCGAGAATTATTTGGCAGAAGAGAAGCGTTTGTCGTAGTACTACGACGAGATGCCGAAGATGCTAACGATTTTCAAAGAGACTAGAAGAAGCCTAGGTTGCTCGCCGTATCACACGTGTAAGTCTTAAATTTATTCTTGAACAAGCATTGCGCCAAAAAAATTATTTTTGTCTTGCATACGGCAATGGTGACAATTTTGCTGAGACATCATTTGCGTGGAAAGATATTCGATTTTGTAAAATTTATGCGAAAATTATGCACGATAATTAATGACCATTAAAGATGTTTGCGAATGCCTATTAACGTATTGTGCGTAGTTTCTAAATGTTAATACATGATACGATGTTGCGTATATTATGTTCCTTGTGTCTTTCTTTCTTGGGAAATCTGCATATGATTAGCATTATGTGAAAGTGAGGAAATCTGTCGACATTTATATGAAATTATTATGAATTGTATCTTGTGTAATACTCAACACTTTTTATAACCTCACTTACATTACTCAATTGATAATGCAGGAAGGAATCATTCACAAAATATTTGAGTATATGTGTAAAATACTACTTTCACACTGATTTTAATAAAATTTTGTTTCTATTCTAACATATAAAATAAGTGGAATAAACTGTTAAAAGTATTTTTGTATTAGGAAATCTATCATCCCATATTTCGATACAAGTATACTCGTTCAACAGTATTTGGTACGTAAGACAAAATTTAGAATGTTTTTACTTTTATAGAATTATTTTAATTAAAAGATTATTCAAATTGAAACATTAAAATTGCATTTGTTTAAAGCTTTATGAAAATCAGTGAGAAAGTGGATATGCTCAATGCTTACTGCTTCGCTTAGGAATTATTGTTACTGTATTTTAACTTACAAAGATATATATTGCAATAATAGTAATAATATATAATATATTTATGGTAGTTTTAACAATTTCAATGCATATAATTTACAATGGAATTATTTTAATAAATATTTCGTTGTATTTTACCAACAAATTTCTGATATTTACATCTTTATTTTATTAGCAATAATTTGTAAGTAAATTATGATAAAAGTCAAAAGATGCATAATACTTGCACAATATGAACTATATTATTTTTAATAATACAAAGATATGGATAATAAAAATTTGTTGGTTTGAAATTAATGTTGATTTTAAATAGCATTTCCACATTTTTTTATTCTTAAACATATTTTATTTTCTTACAGGAATAGTCCAAAGAGTGTGAGAAAAATTTGCAGAAGGTGTCGGAACATCATCTTCAACTCCATATAATAATATGTCGAAGAAGATTCGTATGGGAACAACATAAGCCTTCTAGTATGCTAAAAGATTATAATGCAAGTTTATTGAAATTAAAATGTTAGAAAATTAATTTCTGAGAATATCTGATAATGGCAAAAAATATTGCAGAAGACACTAAAACATCAGTGGATAAAGACAAGATGTCAGAACCTTCCTCAACAACTTCTGCAGCCAATAAAGCAGTTTCCTGTGATGAAGAGAAACATGAATTACCAGAGATTGACAAAGCATCTATTTCTGGAGAAACTGCAGGTACTATCACTCAAAAAGAAGAAGAAGAAAAAGAAGTTACTGAAAGTACAGCATTACTTGAGCTTAAACAACAACAAAATACTTGTAAATCTGACTGCAATGGAGATCCTGAGGAGGAAACTAATCTCGAAAAAGAAGTTTCTGAAGAAATCGAAACAAAGACCAAAGAAAATAACGAATCCTGTTCTGTGAAAACAAATTCTAATAATAAAGAAACCACGGAATATCTCTCCCAGGTAGACCAAAAATTGAGCAAGATTTTACAAGACTTGCATGAAGATTTACAAATACTTCAGAGTTCTAACACACCTGCAACTGTGACAGATGATGCAGAAGATAGCAGTGAAAAAGAACAGACGATAATAAAAGACGAAACTGATTTGGAAAACGATATGACAGATAGCACAAAAGAGTCTACTACTTCCGTGACTGCGAAGAGTACAGAGGACAAGAGGGATTCAAGTGAATCTTCGGAGAAAACAGAAGAGAAATCAGAAGTCGGAATTGTTGGTCCTCCGACCGCGGTTAGCGAGCTTATTAATGAGGAAGAACTTGGGGGCGACTCTGCATTATCGGCCGATCAAAAGGATCACGTAGCAGAATGGGTGGAGAACTGGGTGAATCCTGAAGAAGAGGATAACGTTACCAAAGGATGTAAACAAAACATATACGAAGAAAAAAGTGCGGCGGACGAGAGAGCAAAATGGAAGAAGCACAATGACGTTCCTTCTATATCGCCCAGAAAATCGCAGAAGATTGTTTGCAACATCATAAAGAGGAGCATCAAATGGTGAGTGTTGCATTTAGTTGACTATTTATTTTTATATTCATTACATTGGTGGAGGCTAAAAACAAAACTAAAAATAGAAAGTAAAAAATAGAAACAAAATGTCACCTCGCGATAGTAATTATCGCGCTATTAATCATCCGCTTGTCTCCAAAATTAATTAAGAAATAAATAACTTTGTTTTGATACAGTTGCAATAGCAATTGTTAGAACATATATCTGATATATTTTTCATACAATTAATTATTTTTATGAAAAATTTCTTAAAACTGAAATGCGACTAGCATTCGCCTTTTGAAATTTGAGTAATTGCACACGATTTTTTATTCTCTACACAATGTGGGAAGGGTCCCTATTTCTATATATTTGTGCATTTTTGCGACGATTTGCTCCAGCGGGAGCACAGCGCGTTCTTGCCGATGCACACCGGCGCGTCAACTTGGTTCGCCAGAAGATATTTCTGGATATAGCGGAGATTTCCTTTTGCCTTTGCGATCGTCGCCGATGGTGGCCGAGATTGGTGTTATCGGCCGATAAAGCTAGGATAAGTGGCGAGCGTACTGATGGGCGTGCAAACGCACGCTAACGACGTCAGGAATCATGGTAGAGAAAGAAGTAAAGACGGGAGGGGGGAAAAAGCGAGACGGGGCGAAATATTGACCATGGGAAGATAAGCAAACGGTGATCTCGATAACAGGACGACTATTTCTGCAACGCGCCCTCTCTTCCTTGAGCCTACGCTATGATGATGTCCCTTATTTTTCCGTATTTACATCATAAATATCTCACCCCCCCTTCTCGTCTTCTATCGATATTACATTTAAAAAAAACTTGATTTGCTTAACAATAATAAATACACACAGTAATTCGTTAAATCCTTAAATGTTCGAAAATTCTACATATTACTTAGGAACGTAAACTTACTTAAGTAAATTTATTATTTCTATTTAAAATTGCATCGTAAATTTTGAGCGCATAAGGTCGGAATCAAAATTAATGAATTCAAGCTGTTCATTGTTGGAAAATGGAGTTTGATCTATTTCGAGAGACTTTCTATATTATATCTCTAACAAGCACGCCATATAACAACTATTGGAACAATTTTGGATAGCTAAAAGTATTATGACCATATTTTTAGGTATTTTCAATTACACTTTCCAATAGTTTTCAAGTACAATTTGCTTCAGGGATATTATAACTCTAATCGATGATGAAGCTTTATACTTAATATCTTTTTATTGTAAGCCTAAAATAAATTGATAAACAAAAACTTTTAGAAAGAAAGTTATAAATAATTTATCCGAAAAATTACAATGCCGCGGTTACAATATTTTTTATTGGTACCATCGATTTTGTACGTGTGACACTGGAGAACATCCATTGTTGAACGTTTCCTCTTTGTTTGAATGAAATGCGTCTTCGACAGAGTATAAATCAGCCGAATAAGAAAAAAAATAATTTTGTCAGTTACCGTAGTCGTTATCAATACTTCGATGACACGAAGGTTAAACGACGACAATATGTTGCTGATGACGCTAGGCGTAACCTCGTAGGCAACGTTGCGCGCTACGTGATGATATTATCACTATCAAGCATTATCTCGATCTTTGCGTATGCACACCGTAATACATTGGAAAAAAATAAATAGTATCGCTCGATTCAGTATAAAAAACTATATCATGAGCAGTAAATAATTTCCGGGATTAAACTAATTTTGTACATTCCACTATATATTTATAGCAAATTACATGTTTTTACAAGTACACACACACACACACACACACACACACACACACACACATATACATATATATATATATATATTAATTTTAATTATCATGGATGCACCAAAAATAATGGCCAGTCATTTTGTAGCACTGTAACGGCTAAAAAGTTTGAGTTCTTCATTTTATGTTTGTATATTTGACTTGGTTCACGGTTACGCCCCCGATTGATCTTGTGTCATCTTATCATTTAGCCTAGCATCATTCTGTAATGCACATGACATTCCATACCGTAGAAACTCGATACTCGACTCGTAGGCTAACGCTATGATGCGTTATTTTTAACGGAATTTTATTTATGGCAGTGCATATCTCTTTTTATTATATTGTTTATGAATAACATTAAATAATTCTTATGAATAAGGCAGGTCATAATTATTATTTACTTATTCAAAATGATCTAAAAATAAATAATTTTTTCAGTTTTTTTATGAGTATTGCCGGTAAAAATTTACAATCTTTATTACAATTGTTTTTTGTTATTATTTTGGTTCAAAATGGACGAGATTTAATTTCAGAGATTATTTATCGCACATATTGAGCTCTTTACTGGTTCAAAATGATATCATACAATATATTATATATAATATATAAATGATATTATATATTACATACAATATTATTTTCCAATTTTCGGTGACTCACGAAAGTGATAATTTTTCCACAATTTTAAAAATGCAAAAACAGTGAAAATTACTATCATATACTTATTCTTTTTTCTGCTTTTAATTATAATTGAGAAAAATGGATTAAAGTTTTTTAAACATGACATATTCAATCAACTTTGCGAGTAACTGCATTTGTACTGTATCTGAGACTGCTCTTGAAAAGAAACTTCACATTGGAGATACAATTTATTGATCGATGGATCGACAAGCGACGTTTTTCCGAGTGACTCTTGGACCACGCATAGCTGAGATAATTATAATACGCGATCGACCAATATATATGCGCGCGCGTGTTTCACGGGAAGGCTATCCAGTTTCCATGGTCCCAGGCCAAGGCTGGTCTCACCCCGCAGCGGCGGCGTCAGCAGCAGCAACAGCAGCAGCAGCCGCCGCTGCCGCCGCCGCCGCCGCCGCCGCCGCCGCCGCCGCCGCCGGATGAAAGTAGAGCGGCCGCGACGACGCGAGAGGGGCGTTAATCCCCACGAACGGTACCATAGAAACGGTACCGCTAGGGTCGTTACGTGCAGTCACCGTTTGCCGGAGACCAACCACTCCGGTACCGACTGGGAAGGGTTCGGAACCAGCCCTTAGACTCGATTATTCCCGACCCTACGCTCGATCTACGACCCGTCTGAATTCTCGCATTCGAACTGCGTTTTCTTCACACGAAAACCTTTTGCTCCCTTGATGATGAAAATGGGAAAAACTTGATTTGGCTTAAATATAACAGAATATAAATTAATGGTAATCTAGTTAGATTAAAAATATGCAAGAGAGAATATTAAAAACGTTACGTGTTTTGCACGTTACATATTTATGTAATTTACAAGAGTGGGAAAAATAGGAGTAATAAAAAGTTTAGTTTCGAATGAAACGACTTTCGTGATTGCGTTCCGATGTTTTCGCATGTGATTCCGCCATTCAGTTGGATTGCAATCGTATTTTTGCAATTAACGGGCTGCGAGTTCTGAATCACCGAGTTGACGGAATATGCGATGGAATATCCACTGTCCGTATAGTGCGCGTAGAATATAATCCAAACTGAAGGCCTTCGAGAAAAAGGGAAGGTCTTCTTTGTCCGTAGATCCCTCGGGCGAAGGAACCGTGACCAGATGTTGGTTGACGAGAAAGCCCCGTTGACCGCCCTTACGAATGTGTGCGTGCGTGCGTGCGTGTATGTGTGTATGCGTTCGTTGCCCTTTCACAAGCTTCTACCCGTGTGTATGTGTGTTCGCCATGTCCACAGAAATATGCGTAATGGTACCAACCATTCACGGCGATGAGAGCTGTGAACTTGCCCCAGCTCTCTCCCTCAAATTTGGCTCCTATTCGCTTTGACGCAAGGTTTTGGTCAAGGTTTTCCTCAGATTTATTGGTTTTTAGCAATCGTACAAGTGTTCTACTTAAAAAATTCAAAGAACTTTATTGAACCGCTAGTTTATTGTAAAATGTTGCCTGGAAAAAGCGAGAAGTGAAAATCTGTTAAGCACATATAAACATTTGCAAATAATATTTATTCCTTTATCGCCTTAGTATTTATATAGGTATCTTAAAAGATATGCTTTAAAGAGAACTATATAAAATAAGAAAAAAAGGAATTTTGTACGGTCATAAATCAATGTCGTGCTTTCTTCGAAATAATAGATATATGACAAGAGAAAGTCGTTATCTTGTCGTTTCTTGTCATTTCTTGTCACCCAGCGTCTTCAAATATTCATGTGTCTTTTTAAAAATCGATAACATTTGTAATGGAAAATTATTAGGTTTTTTGACATTTTTAAATAAATTTAGAGCTCGTGGAATACTTCGTGGAAACTCAAGAATTTTATTTTTATAAATTTTGCAATATTTGACAGGTCCTTTTTAGCAAATTCTAGATCTATTGAGATGTTTCAGTTTATTTTGCCGTAACAGTATTTAATATATTAATATTTGTAAAATATTTTTGATAAAAATTACGTAAATAGAATGTGGCAATTTTCGGAAATTTGCTAAAAATTCTTAACGGTCGCCTCAACGGCGAGAGATTTTAACGCTATCGAAATAGGTCGTTCTCTGCGCCGTCTTGGTATTTTGCTACCTGCTACCTGCATTACTTGGTTATTATCATTAACATATTTTTTTATATATTATTGTATAGTATTTAGTTATTCTTATATTTATTCTTTTCTATTTTATTTATTCTTAAACATGCTCTCCAAGAGCGGAAAATAGTGACTCCGTACGAACGAGGCCTGTCTGGCTTCGGTGTTGTGTTCACCAAGCGACCGCTCAAATAAGGACAGGCCGATTTCCGGTGATCTCGCTTCCCCGCCACCTCCCGTATGCGACTCCCGCTGTTCATTTGCTCGTTCGTCGGACTCTCGACACTAACTTTACACTCCCGTCGAAGTTATCAACCGCTATCTGCAGTAGAAGTACGAAACTTTCATAAAAATAAGATTTGACAAATATTTAATTATTGGTTATTTTTTTAAATCAATTTTTTATATAAATTTTATAATTGCAATTATTGGATATCTACTCAGACATAATTGCTAAGGTTGGAATT